TATCCGAGTACAGAACCAGAGCTCGAAACCTATCCAACTGCAGAGAGGTGTAAGACAGGGTGACGTTATATCCCCGAAACTCTTCACCGCTGCATTGGAAGACGTTTTCAAGCTACTGGACTGGAAAGGATACGGTATTAACATCAATGGCGAGTACATCACTCACCTTCGATTTGCCGCGAAATAGTCCTTATGGCAGAATCGCTGGAGGACTTAAGCACTATGCTCAATGACCTCAATAGTGCCTCCCAACGGATAGGTCTTAAGATAAACATGGACAAAACAAAGATCATGTTTAATGTCCATGTCACACCTATGTCGGTAGTTGTTGGGAGCGCTATGCTCGAAGTTGTTGACGAGTACGTTTACCTGGGACAAATAGTCCGACTAGGTAAGTCCAACTTCGACCGAGAGGTCGATCGACGGATTCAACTCGGCTGGGCAGCGTTCGGGAAATTACGACATATCTTCTCGTCAGGTATACCTCAATCTCTAAAGACTAGATTGTACAACCAGTGCGTGTTGCCAGTGATGACTTACGGATCTGAGATGTGGTCCTTCACTGCTGGCCGTATGAGGACGCTCAAGGTCGCTCAGCGAGCTATGGAGAGGGCTATGCTCGGAGTTTCTCTGCGTGATAGACTCAGAAATGAGGATATCCGCAGTAAAACCAGAGTGACCGACATAGCCCAACCGATTAGTAAGCTGAAGTGGCAATGGGCCGGCCATAGAGCTCGAAGAACCGATAACCGATGGGGAAGAAAGGTTCTCGAGTGGCAGCCTCGTACCGGTAGGCGTAGTGTAGGGAGACCCCCCACTAGATGGAGTGACGACCTTGTAAGACATGCAGGAAGTCGGTGGATGCAGGTGGCTCGGGACCGTGCTTTGTGGCATTACTTGGGGGAGGCCTATGTTCAGCAGTGGACTTGTGAAGGGCTGTAATGATGATGATGATGATGATGTGTGTTTATCGCGATAAACTTTTCAAACCGCAGTGTGGCCAGACACATTCGCCGTAGGCCGAGGGCAAATTTTTATCACGATATTTCTATGGCAATAAGTGTGGCCTAGCATAATAGTTCACATGCGGATTCAGCAGTGGACTTGTGAAGGGCTGTAATTATGAATGATGATGAATGATAATGATATATATATAGTACCCGGTTGACCGAGCATTGCTCGGTATTTTTCGCTCGGTTTTTTTTATTCGTATATTTTGGAAATTATATTTAGATACAAATTATATACTGGTGAAATACGAATAATATTTTTTGATCTTAGAGACATAACAGAAAAAACTGAACTGGTTATTCGAATAAAAAATCATGAGTGCAATTAGTTTAATTTAAATTTTCGTATTTTTAAAAAATACTAAAAAAAGGACTCGAAAAAAATAGATTTTCTCAAAAAAAGAAAGGAACTTGAAAAAAAATTAAAAAAATGTGGGTCGGTCGGTCTGGGCTCGAACCATGGTATTACGATTTTGTGACCGCCCAATATACCAATTAAACTGTTTGTAATGAATAATAAACTGTCAAAATTTACCTTCTTATTCTAACGATATTGTAGCAGTTTTTCATTGCCTAAAAACACGGACAAAAAGATATTTTCTAAAAATAAATCCTAGCTAGATCGATTTATTGCCCCCGAAACTCCCTGCACACAAAATTTTATGAAAAATATTTACAAGAATTGTATATATATATATATATATATATATATATATATATATATATATATATATATATATATATATATATATATATATATATAGGAGCCTTCTGATTCAGCATGGGCCAATGTGTGAAAGAGTATGAATTTGTAAGCCCAAGACTGCTATGGATACGAATGAAAGTGGGCTTAAAGAAGTTGTTTGTGTTAGGGGTCTACACCCCAGACATGTCTAAGTCCACTTATATCCGAGAGCAGTTTTGGGAGATGGTAAGGATGGTATTAATGAAGTGTAAGGGAAATGAAAATATTATTATGCTAGGAGATTTTAATGGAAGGGTTGGGGTGAGGAGGCTTAGTTATGAAAGGATATTGGGAACGTTTGGTGATGAAAGTATAAATGAGAATGGTGAAAGTCTCCTCACCGTATGTATGGAAAAGAATCTTTTTTGTGACGAACACTTGCTTTCGCCGCAAGAGGATTCACATGTATACTTGGGAAAGAGGTTACGATAGAAGCATGATAGATTTCATAATTGTGGATGAAAGATTGAGGGGCGCAGTGGTAGATACAAGGGTTTACCGGTTCTAACGTAGGAACGGATCTTTATTTGGTTTTATGCCGAATTAATGGTCTATTCAGGAGTTGGCGCCATCGATCATCTGGGTCTACCACTGCGTTACAGCGTATTAGAACAGAAAGGCTACAAGATGAAGGTGAGAGAAACAAGTTCAAATGTAGACTGAAAGAAAATATAAGTGGTTTGGATGAATTATGTATGAAGGAGTTAGACTTGGAGAATGTATGGCAAAATGTAAAGAAAAGTTTAGTGAATGCAGCTACCGAAGTATGTGGTGTTAGTAAGAGAAAGAATGAAAGGAAAAATAATACGTTATGATGGGATGATGAGATAAGTATGGAAGTTGAAGCAAAGAAGAGAGCATGGCTAGATTTACTAGCAACAAAGGCTGGTAATTCTAGCGATACGAATGATGATATTGAAAGAAAAAAGGCAGTCTTTAAACATCTTAATAAGAGAGTAAAAGAAGTAGTTGAAAGAAAAAAGCAAGAAAGAACGGATAAGAATGATAGAAGAATATTGGATAACTTCCAGGCAAATATTTAAATGTTCTGGAAACTTGTAAGAACTGCCATAGGCATTCAAAACAGCTTGTAATGTTATAAGAAAGAAGCAGAAAGATGAAGTTTTGAGTTTAAAGAGATGGAAGGAATATTTTGAAAGCGTGTTTATGAGTGAGGAGACAACGTGTGTACTAAGTGAAGTAGAAACTCCGAAAGAAGAGGAAAGAGGTAGCGAGATAAGTATAGATGAAATAATGAAAGCAATGAAAAGCATGAAAGCAGGTAAGGCTTCCGGATATGATAGAGTTTCACTCGAAATGCTAAGGGCTGGAGAGGAAGTCGTGACAGGCCTGCTGCACACCTTGTTTAAGTTATGCTGGGAACTGAAGCTGGTACCGGTAGACTGGTGCAAAGCCGTAATAGTCCCAGTATATAAAGGAAAAGGGTCGCAGCGGGACCGTAAAAACTACCGTGGCATCAGCCTTCTTAGCATTGTGGGAAAACTGTATGCTAAGGTACTGATTGAAAGGGTCATGAAAGAAACTGATGGAAAAATTTGGGATGTGCAAGGGGGATTCAGAAAGGGAATGGGATGTACAGATCAAGTCTTTTCCATGCGCATGATCGCGGAGACGTTTTTGGCCAAAAATCAAAAGGTTTTTTGTGCGTTCATGGACTTGGAAAAGGCCTATGACAGAGTGGATAGGGATGTGCTATGGCAAACACTGAACTCATTTGGGTTGAGCGCTGGCTTGATACAGGCATTGGAGTCTCTTTATAGGGACTCTAGTGCTTGTGTTAGGATCAACGGGGTCTACTCGGACTGGTTTGTCATCCATAAAGGTGTCAGACAGGGCTGTGTGGCTTCCCCGTGGCTGTTCAACCTATTTATGGACAGTTGTTTGCAAAATTTGAAAGTTGAAGAATGCGGATTAAGAATGGGTGAGTTAACCGTCAAATGCCTTTTGTACGCCGATGATCAAGTTATCCTTGCGTCGTCGGCGGCCGAGTTGCAAATGATGGTTACTTTAATAAACAGATCATTAAAAGAAAGGGTATGAAAGTGAACGCAAGTAAGACGAAGGTTATGGTTTTTGAAAGAGAAGAAAGTAAAACGATTTGTGAAATAAGAATAGAAGGGGAGTTGATCGAGCAAGTAGATGAGTTTGTATATTTGGGCTGCGTATTTAGCAGGGATGGGAGACATGATAAGGATATAGAACGACGAGTGAATGCGGGAAATAGAGTAAATGGGGCCCTGCACTCTATTGTGAAGAGTCAAAATGTGTCAAAAAAGGCACGTATGGCAATTCACAATGCTGTGTTGGTCCCTACTTTAACGTATGATAGTGAAAGTTGGGTGTGGCAGAAGAAGCACGGGAGTAGAATCAACGCAGTAGAAATGCTTTCCTTAATGAGTATGTTAGGGCTGAATCTGAACGACAGGGTAAGAAATTGTGTAATAAGAGAAGAGTGTGGTTTGCAAGATGATGTTGTGACCAAGGATTAAGAAAGGAATGCTTCGGTGGTTTGGTCATGTGGAAAGAATGAATGAGGATAGAGTGACAAAGAAAATTTATGTTGCAGAAGTGAATGGTAGAGTCGGAAAGGGACGTCCTAGGCGAAAATTTATCGACCAAATTGGCGATTTATTGAAAACGGGCCAAATTAGGAGTACCCTTAACCGAAGAGCATGTATGCGTAGGTGTATGGATGTGAAGGAGGCGAGAGAGGTGTGTCAGGATCGTGCCAAATGGAAGTCTGTAGTGTCTGCCTACCCCTCCGGGTGACAGGCGTGAGTGTTTATGTTATTTATGTTTATGTTTAATTCAATTAATCAACGTTTTGTTGATGCAAACAATACGAGTCACGCGTTTTACATTTATTAATTGATGTATTCCAAAGTTGTTTTATAAATTTTCTGTTTACACCACAGGGTTTCTAGTCAGGATAAAGACGCGTAATACAATAAACAAAAACAAATATTTCTTTTTGATTTTGTAGAGGCAAGTAGAATCTTACTTATGCAAGTAGTATTAACGTTCTTCTAATGACTAAGATATACATTATCTTAATTATCCTTAACTTCCATATCTGTACAAGATCTGTAATTGCTCATAATATGCTCTTAATGATGAATGTATAATCAAGGAAAAAGTAGTTTAATTAACCTACTTTTTTCTTTTTTGTGTTCTTTAAAAATGTAGCGCAAACTGACGACACAATTTTTTTTATTAAGGAGGGCATGGGTCAATTACGTATAGTTCCGGGAGGTTTGCAACTACTAGGGCAGGCTATCGTGCTGGACTCTCTTTTCGCGTCCAGTATCAAGTCACGCCGAGGTCAACCCATCTCTGTTGAATCGTCCAGAAATTTTACAGTTTCTACTCGAGACTCACACGGATCTGTTCAGAGTAGGTTATTATTAGGTAAGTTATATTCAATATACAGATTTATTTCATCTCAAACTGTCTTTCCATGTTTATAGTATATTAAAGTAATATAATAATAACTACATTATTAAATAATTATATATACTTAAATATTAAACTGAATTTCTTTCCACGCTTTCTATCGTTTTATATCGCCTTTAAGCTTCTTAAAACGTATAGATAAAATTTTAATTTACTTTATCTTTAATTTTATCGTCATAGAAAAAGCACATGTAAATTTAAATTAAAAGGCTGGTAATTACATACACGTTTTATTATAAATTAAAAAAAAAGTTTAAATGATGTAATTTACGAAACGTTGAACAATGAGTCCAAGTCACAGCTCCCTACTCTGGGGACTAATAAACAATGTAAATGATATGTTAAATATTTAAAATTTTCTCTTGTTAGGTCACGATCGCTTAGAAGTGAATGTGGGAAGACTAGAGGTACGGGATGCACGTGGCAGCTTATTACTGGGTGCGACACAAGATTCAGTAACAGTGGGTGCCGATAACCTCGTTGTAACGAGTCCAGCTGGTGCATCCTTTCATACTGCAGTTCAATCGCCAGTTGTACGTGCACCGCCATCGAAACAATTAGTGTGAGTTTGTTATTTCTTAAATTAAACTGGCAGCAAATATTAATACAAATAGAAACTTTGACATGATTGGTCTTACGCAAGTTTTACAAAGATTGTGATGTAACAAATCTCACACGACTTGTACCCTTTCTTTTACAACTTTTTAACCTCTTACCTGGTTTGATGGCCGAATAAAGTGATCGTACCTGATGATTTTTCAGGTTGAGGTTTCGACGTTTGAAAGAGTTTCTTTAAAAGTATATTGCAACACTTTTCTATTTTTCTGAGGATACACTAAGATTCTCCTTAAGCGAAACCATTCGCTTAAGCGGTTGGTGGCTCTTTGGAACATCTAAGTAGAAATTTATTGTTATAATGGGTGAAGAATTGTGTCGTATCATCGGAAAATTGGACAGTATTAACTTCCCATGGTTATACCGTCTTTTGGGATCACACTCGTGAGAGTGTGAATTGAAGTGGGGACACGAGCCCTAAGGAGCCTTTTTAAGAGTCTAGTCCCCTCAACTCTGTAGTTAAAAAGCGGTTGGTAAGAAATACTTTTATGATGTGAGCGAGCCTTACAGGCACTTTGAGTTTATACAGGTTGTAAAGGAAACCGTCGTGCCAGACCGTGTCGGACGTCTTTGCGACGTCGAAGAATAGGCCGCCAGCGTTACCGGGGTTCGGTAGTTACTTGTGTGAGAAAATCCTTTCAGAATGTATTCCGTTAGGTGATGGATCTGAATTGTGAACGAGTGTTTGGGTATTAAGCCGAACTACTCGCCAGGGAGAAGTTTGTTTGCGAAGACATATCTACGGAGGCGATTCAATATGATTCGCTCATAAATTTTCCCCAGGGTTGAGCAGACTAATGGGTCTGTAGCTGGGGGCTAAATTGCGCGGTTTCTCTGGTTTTGTGATTCCTATAACGGGTTGTGTGATGGATTATCCTTATCCAGTTTTAATATGAGAGAGGGGATAGAGTGGCGCAAGCAAGACATTAGACATCGACGTCAATAGTGTATCAAGCGTTAACTATACCTTCAATACCTTTAATCTTTATAACAACGAACTGATAAGGTGATGATTATTACAATAATTTCATTTTACAATTGTAAGTTAAGTGAATTTTACATTATTTCATTTATATTCAATACAAGTAATACAGGTCTTACATTTCTCTGTACATTTATTTAAACCACTGATCTATAGTGTAAATAAGTAATCTACCGTAAAATTGCGCTATTTTCGTATGGTCGGCAAATGTCGTAAATTGGCAGTAGAATAAAAATAAAAATACATAGAGTAACAGGTTTTTGTTTAGGCAACAGTATAGAGATTTCGTATTGATTCTATAATGCCAAACTTCTTCATAGAAAAGTAGTCTCTAAATATGAATTTTAATTTTTTGAAGTGCTGTGGGTGGGTGGCGTCAAATTTGACCTTTTGGAATTTCACGGAATATCGCCGCGGTAATTTTTGGTCGCTAGGGAATTGAGAGGTTAACTTTGTAAAAAATTCAAACGTTCAAGATTGTCTCGAGGTCTTTCAGTAGTATGGTCATCATCGGATTTTCTGAAAATTACATTAGTAAAATATTTATTTTATATTTTTTTTACTAATTTCAAAAACACAAGAGATTGTCAGTGGCTTGTTTATTTTTATTGTATTTTTCGCATTGGTATAAGATTTATTTCTATTTATAACTTATTGGAGTTAATAGAAAAATAAATCTTAAGACTTTTTCACTTGCCGCAATATGGGATCCACGTACCTCGACAGATCTGCAGAAAAAAACAGACCTCCCGCCAAGGATAGGATGTAATAAAGTAGGATATCGATTTAAGGCCACATCAGCAGCCTCACTAATGTGATCTATATTGTAAATAAGTAAATGTCTACCAAAGATAAAATTTATTTCATGCGAATTCAAGTTTGAAAAAGATATTCCTTTTTATGTGATACTCGTATGCTACAAATGTTTGGATTTCAGATTTGCCGTTTGCTTCTCTTGTGAGTCTTGTTTTTGCCAAATTTCATGATTTTCAATCTAGGTCATCGGGCAGTATCTACCTTAACTATAGGCGAGCAAGTTTTTTTTACCAAAATATGAAACATAAATAGCCGTCTGTATATTTTGATTATTGACTTAGAAGCCTCAGCTATTTATTTACTTCTGCAAGGAAAGTCTACACCTTAGAATTTGATATTCTTAATTAAAGAGTTATACCTCAAACCGCTACTGAGAAATAGTCTTGATAAACGGACAAACGAACGAACAACATAGTGATCTCAGAAGGATTCCATTTTTTCTTTCGAGTTAATGAATTCAAACCTAAATTAGTTGGCCTTATTTGTCTTCTCTAAAAAAATCCAACAAGTTTTTAATCAATGAAAATCGAAGTATGTACACAGAGTTATCACGAAAGTAAACAGTCGCCCTTCTTCTATTTGTCAAAATACAACAATTTACTTCGCTAACCTTTCTGTGCCGTCTAGGAGGTGCACCCTCAGGCCTTAGTCTATTTAGCTTGTAGCTTTTCTGTTGACAGTATTACGTAAACATGAATACTCCTCGGAAAGGGTTCCCGCTTTGTCATGGAGGGAGGAAGGGGCTTAATAGCCGTGGCTTAGTCACCTACAGTTAACCAGGAGGAATCCACATAGCTGGCTGGAAATAAAAAGCTCGCCTAAAATGGCCACTCCGAGTGAGCTTGGCGTGCCCACTTCGGATGTGAGTTGAAGGACTGCGACGAGAGGGTGTACTCTCCCCCTACCGCAGCGAAGGTAGAGTCTATTGTTTGGTGCCGCTATCCTTACTCTTCGAAGTTGGATCTTGGTTTCCGGCGGAGCCATAGACCAAATCCGGTGTTGGGGTAAGGAAAACTAGTGCTTCCGTTGCTCGTCTTCTCTGGCCCTCATCGCATTCGCGCATCGGGCACAATGGCGTCCATTGTGCTGGTGAAATTGAGGGCCACAGAGGAAGGCACGCTAAATGTGCGTAAAGGTTTCCGTGGCGCTGTGAATATGCAGCGAAGGTGAAACACCATGGGGTTTTAGTCAGTGCGGGGCCTTCATAACCCGTCCTTGCCCTCGCAAGGCACGTATGCGTAGGCATATACCCATGTAAAAAGATAAGCTTGAATAAATGGATTCCGTCAGAAGATTTTCTCAAAAATAGTTGAATTGCAAATTACCTACAACCTACAACGATTTACAGTCAATACCTCCAGACACTAGGCTACTACGTATCTAATGATATATTACAGAAGTTATAAGTAATCTTACCGTAATGATTTTTAAGTAAGTAGTATAAGTAGTAGTAGTAGTAAGTACATGTAACTTATGTCTAGAAAAAGTTACATTAATAACACACACATTTTAACGAAACGATAACTCAGTTTGAAACTTGGAAATTTTGGGTTTCAAAATTGTTTTGAAAATTAAGCCATTTAATTTTTTCACATTTACTAAAGCTAAATATTTATATACATTTTAACCTTAACATGGTACTTATTACACACAATTGTGTACACAAAAATGTGTTGTTATAAAAAGAATTTATTTAAATCATATGTACAATTACAGGTTGGAGTCGTCAACACGGTCGTTAGAGATGCACGCAACCCAAGCTATATCCATGCAATCCAGAGCTGGTGACATAAGTGCGAGCTGTCTCACCACCTTCCGACTGCGTTCTGTCGCTGGCGCGGTAAATAAATAATAAGTTAATATTTTACGTCAGGCAACGGAAAACTTTTCCGTAAAAACGATTTTTTTTTTGTGTATTGATCACTGACCAGTTATCACTTATTTTATAAACACGATTATTTACGAGCAAATATGCGAAATGCATTTTTTTTAAAAATTTGTTACCAGCTAAAATGAAATAGATACTGTACTTTCTATGATCATATATTATCATCTGAGCGTTTTTCATTGAAAATTAGTAGGTTTAGGTAGGTTTTTACGATTTCGAAAGTCGTTTAAACGGAACGAAACTTTTGATAGATTTCATAGGTAGGTCGTGTATTGATGAAGACCACGTATTACTGTTTCGCACAAATTTCAGCACATAATTATGTCTATTAATAAAGAGTTGTTAAAATTCTATGGGTTAAAATGAAAAATAAATAATGGTTAGTCGAATATAAAAGTATGAAATAAATTAAGTTATAGTAAATAAAGAATGAGATGAAAAATTATGAATAAATAAATAAAAGAAAAGTATTTTAAAATATAAATGTCTGTACAATTATACTAGATGTTCCCGAATTTCAAAATATTATTTAGTACCTAATTATGTCAAATATGTATATTGTATGTACGCATAATACATCATACCAATTCTATTGTGACCTTGATATTACTATGGGCCAGGGGAATCTGGCCACCCGACCCATAGAATACATCCGTCTCGAACGATTGCAATCTTATAATATACATTCATATTAGACGTAATATTTTTTATATAGTTTAAAAAATATATTCATTTCTTTTTTATTTTAATTTTTATCGATGGGAGGTGTAGTGGCGTGTAGCTCCCATGACATACATATTAGTATTAAGTGGAATAAGAGCAGTATAATTAAAGTTTTAGTTCCAACAACACGTCTCCTTCATTCCTATATTACAATCATCTACTTTGCTTTTATTAAGACTCGTTGAATGACCTAAGCTATTGCACGAGTTACGAGTATTAACGAGCTTATTGAACGAGTGGGGAATTTTTAACGCTTATTAGTTACTTACCTTCACTGCTAACACTATTTTATGTTACACCTTTCAACCAGAAAGCATTCTACACAATGTTGGCTTAAATTCAGTTTACTCACCATGCCACGTCCACTCCAACAGTTCTCACTTCTGTAACAGATGTGGCCAACTTTTTAAGGATGATGTACTGGTTACTTTAGTTCTTTGTCGACTGCCATGTTGGTGAAGTGGTAGTAGACGCTGCTGATCACTCCTGGGTTTAAGCCCTGGGTCGGGCCAAAATCAGTTATTGGGTTTTCTATCAAGAAATTATCTATATAGTTTTCACATCTGGTTAGGTTCTATAAATATATAATTATAAATGAAAATGAAAAGATAAATACATAAATATCAATAAAATAAAATAAATACAAATATACATAAATAAATAAATGCTCAACCAGATGGAAGCCCTCGGCAGGGGAGACCAAACGGAACCGGCGGACGATGAGGGCAGTATCGAGGAGCACCGCCTTCTGCATTTGAGCCCGGAGCGGTCCGTCACGGAGGTCCAGTCGCCTCAGATGACCAGAGAGGCTAACTGGGATTAGCCCATTCGGAGAGACGACTACAGGAATAATTTCGGTCGGCAGACCACCCCACATGTCGGTCACCTCGTGAGCTAGGTCCAGATATTTTGATTGCTTATCTGTTTCGGCTTTCATGAGGTTCTCGTCATACGGAATGGTAATATCGACCAAAGATATCCTTGACAGTGCCCGATCCATCAGTACAATATCAGGCTTATTCTCAAGAATAGTCCTGTCTGTGATGATGGCCCGGTCCCAGTAGAGCCTGGCGCGGTCATTATTATTATCATTATTAGGGGGTATTTAAATATAATATTATTATTATCTCTGGCGAATTTCTTCAGTACTCTTTTGTGTTGAATAAATTATTTATGAATATTTTTTAATTTTCTTTATTACAGATACGGTTGGATGCTCCAAATATATACATGCCAAAACTAAAATCAGCCCTACCTCTACCTCCGTCAACACCACACACACATGACCCGCATCATCAAAATATTTACCAACTTTGTGCTTGTGCTAATGGCAAGTTATTTTTAGCTCCGCCACATGGCGTTTGCGCTGCCAGAGAAGAAAGCCTTATCTGCCGATGATGCTTTACACCGTAATTATTGTTTACGTCCACACTAGTCTCGAAAAATGTACGTTTTTCTTTTACAGTCAGAACGATTGAAGATGTGTATTTGAAATGATGTTTCTTAAACTTAATTTCTATAAAAATATTTTGATTGAACACTATGTTATTTACTAATTTGGTGTTTTTTCAAATTTGACACAAAGGTTGTTTTGTCCAATTTAAGAATTTTGAAGTTTTCTCATTTTTATATATTATAATCGTCGACACGTTATGTACGATACAAAATCATAATCCGTATCATAAATTATAGCGATAATAAATTTGTAAATGTGTTGTATAAAGCGTGTTCTACCCCATAGATATTACTTCCACAAAAATGTTAATTTATTATCTTTTGGCTTGTGAACACCTTACTAAGCCACAATGACAATTAAAGAAATATTACACTAAATTTAAATTAACTAGTGCCTTTTTGGAAACGCGTTTAGAAGAAAGATTGTCTAAAACCCTAATTATATTTCGCATACATAGTGAAAGTATGAGTAGGCAATGGCATTATATAACTAAGATATGACAGAATAAAGCTTAAGTCCGCGATGTTGTGATAGATGATAGATATTAAGGTTGTTTATTGTTTCCGTTAGTTAGAGATTTTAACTCCATTAAAATTTTTATTATTTGAGATTGAGTTTTAAAATATTTTAGAAAGTTTCATTCTTGTAAACTTATGAGTTAATATAATGTTATGAACTTATAAGAAATCTATACCATATTATTCATTTTAAAATTCTGTATCTCTCTGCCGGACTCAAATTGATAATCTTTAAAGAATATGTGAATTAAAGAATGAGTGCAGTTCATCCCAAACCTTCAAGTGAAATCTTCAGAAAAGAATTCCGTAATAATAGGGAGCACTGTATTCTGTATTCTATTTCATTCTCTCGCAGGCTAAATTATATAGATGTATATGTTTGTCTCTTTTTCTTTCGCTTATGCATTTCATCGTATTTAAAATCACAACGATTCTAAGGAAGTTTTATCCTTACAAAGACTTTAGAAATGGTTTAGTTTTATACATATTTGAGGAGAGCCTGGCGAGCCATATTATGGGTATTGTACTGTTTTTGCACGGGTACAAAAACCGTACAAGAACAAAATACCAACCAAGTGTACAAAAGGAAAGTTTTTCCAGAATTTGGTTTTCTGATACGTAGTGTATTTCCTTTAGAAGTAGTGCACAGTTGTCAATTAGTTGTGTTGAGAAAATTGTCGTAGTGAAATGATTCCATCAGCTAATTTGTATTAAAAGTGTCAAGGTATTATTTTCAATAAAGTCATACCAATATTAATTATTAACTGTTTTAATTTTGTTTATTTATACCCTAATATAATTAAACATCAATTACTCCAACGAGTTGACGTCAATACATTTCTTTGGTGTGTATTAGTGAAGCGTGGGAGCTTATAGAATTAAGCAATTAATGTAGACATACGAATACTTTTATTCATAATGCTCTTGTTATATGTATATTTATATCAGTTATCATCCGAAATTGTTGATATTGTTGTAAATAAATTATAGCTAAATATGTTAACCAAGTAAACTGCATATGTACATAAAACACTTCGTTTTCTTTATTAAATTATATCCCGTATCGAATTTCTTTTAGTTCCTACACTTTTTACGTATAGGAGCATAAAGTTTTAAGATTGCTAGGTAAATAATATGATATCTTATTAGCTTTCTTCTTCAAAGGTTAAAGTAATCATTGATTTTTTTAACACACTCCAATATTACAATCCTGAATGATGTAAAAAGTGTAACGAAACAGGGATTTAATGCAATTTCATAGGCGAGAGACATCGGTAACTGTAACAAAGCTATGTCCAACAGCGGTATTTGATGGAACTTTCCAGCCTATTACTCAGAGGGGCAGACAGAGATTACCAACATCCATTTGGCACGAGCCTGACACACCTTTTCCGCTTTTTTTTATATCCATATACTTACGCATACATGCTCATTGGTTAAAAATAATAAACTTTTCTAAAACTTCAAGTTTTATAGAAATCACCTGCGAGTATGAGATCATCCAAAACATTTATTTGTTTTTTAATCTTCTTACACGCCTAATAATAAGAGATATAAAGGAATGACTTAATGCTTTACGGCATTCTCTACCAGTCAACATTAAATATAAATACCAGAAAGTGTATTATTTACTGTATAAATCGGCCAAGTGACGTTCTAAACCGTCGCTTATCAGCCTAATTATTAATCTTGACGATGAACTTTAGTACATATTTTCAGTGTATATTACTGATAACGCGAAACCAAGACGTGGTCTCTTGCTCATGGTCGTACAAATATACTCAAAGCCGCTGGGTGAGCAGTACAGAATGTTATGCTGAGTTCTTGTGTGTGATCTGTAACAATAATATTTCCAGCAGAATAATATTAAATGATGTAGCCCAAAAGATCTGCCTGAAAGCTGAATTGTCATTGCAACTTTAGCGTTCCAGCTACATAGCTCGAAGAACGGAAAACAATCTCGAATGGTAGCTTCATAATGATAGCGCAGTGTCGCAGCCGACTTTACGAGACACGCAAGAAGTCATTGGATGCAGGGTACAGAGATTCAGTATAATTACAGGCTGTGAGGTATTCCATCTTGGTCCTCAGGGGTGATAACGGATCCTCATGTTGTTTCATCACTCATGTTGTTTCGTCACGTTTCCTCATGATGTCTTCTTTAACCGTGGTAAATCAGCACTTAAAACTGCAATTAACAATTTCATTGATGGCGGCGGGGATGGTACCCAGGTTGATCGCGTACTTTGAAATTTACAGTGAGCGCTAACCATCTAAGCTACCACTGCTCTTATATATAATAAAGTTTATTATAATATAAATTATAAAATAATACATGGTTGAAAATAACCCCCGAGAAAGAGGTGGTCGCCTCCAAGCCTTATCTTAAATAAGTTTTGTAAGTAGTTTGTACAACCTGTTTCCTTCCTTCTTTGTTCAGCCTTCTTTCTTCAAGTTGGCCGAAGTTTATGACACCAACGGCAGGAGTCACTTACCATGAGAAGGACTGTAAGTTCATTTGTCATTTCATTTTTAGGTGTCTCTTTGTGGTCATTCATGAAGAAAGTCTATGTTTAGCCGTGGGCTTGTGATCTATCGCTGTAATGATGATGTTGATACAATAAATTAATCAAAGACAAAAATGTAATTTATTATAGTATTTAGTAAATATATCACGTTAACTATCTATCTCAAGAGCCATTTGTCTTACAGGTATAAAATATTCACAAAGTTAGTAATTGAATCGTACCGACAAACCGACGCAAGTACTTAATTGCATTGTAAACGAACTCTGAATATCTTTGAAACTTTATCATTTAATTTTGTCTTAACGAACATTTTACCGACTACACAGACCTTACTTCAATGTTTACTTTTTTTGACTGCCCCGTTGGTCTAGTAGTCGTTAACGCGATTGATGATTGTGAGGTCCCGGGTTCGAATCCCGGGTCGGACTAAAATCAGTCATTGGGTTTTTCTGTCAAGATGTTCCCAGAAGCAGCATGGAAGGAAGTTAGGGGTGTTTCTGTCAAGAAACTCTCAGTCAAAATTTCTCAGCAGCTCGGAGAGATTTATTTCCCTCTTCGAAAAAGACGTAAAGCCATTGATCCTGCGTCTGCTATCTCTCTGGTCGTGTTGGATTACCGTCCTATGATACTATGAGAGTGAGGGAAAGGTGCACTCTACCTCTGCTTGCTTCTACACTTGAGCACTATAATCCTGTTCTGTGCAGATGAATAGTCTTCGCTGAGACTGGCCACCAACGCCGAAATTTGGATTGGAGTAATATTGTACTTTTTATACTATATTGTGAGCTTTCAGCGATAAACTTTTAAGGTTATATCAGTTATAGGTATCAAAAGAAAAAGTTTATTTGCAAAACATGGCTAGAATATGGGTGACAAACGAGAACACAGTCCACCTGATAGTATCCATACGTACATAGGCCCATATACATCTACATTTATCCTCGAATAAAATTCAAAATGCAGATATTATGTCACTCCTGAGAACTATGATGGTATGCCTCGTTTCCAGTAAAAAAGTTCTCCAGTTCTCTACACTCACCATACGAAATACAGCAGCATTAAGCTGCCTTTTACGCTGGTATTCTGTGAGAGCGTAGTTTCACCCTAGTTTCAACCTTAATAACACAGCTGTAGTAGCTCTACTGAATTTTGCTGCGAATTTTCTTCTTATCTGTTTAATCACACAGTAAGAGACGTCAACGCAGTTCGCTGGATGATTTTGAAATTAAATGAAACCTTGCCTGAGTGGAGATTTTGTCATTCCATAGAATATTTTAATTATTTTATGTAATATTATGTAGTATTTTAGTGGTTGCAGATCATCCTTCATCTTTACGATTAGTAGACTTAAAACACAAATGGTTTGACATTACTGAGGAATAATATGGAATGCCACGTCATTAACTACATAAATGATTTCGCATTTTGTTTTGTTATTCTAAACGAGCGATTATTTTCTGGTCAACAGACCCATTGTTATTGAAACTCGGAATAATAAATAGATTTAAAGCGTAGCTCTAGAACGTAGAAAATATTACTTAGTAAAAAAAATAGTTCTCATATAGGTATTACTTATGATGATTATAATTAATCGTTTTGACTACTTATTTTCTATTGTCTGGCTAAACATTTTGGCTTAAGGATTTCTTAGCATGATACCTGATGATGCTGAAGCCACAATCGACATTGTGTTACCACCGAAAAAAAAATACCGTTAAATTTTTCACACTTAATATATTTCAGTTATCAAAAAAAAAAACTGTATATCGTCGGGTGACAGGAAAAACTCACTAAGTACAAAAAACAGGAAATTTATTTTTTTACACTAAGTACATTAAAATATAAACAAATTTTCCACGAAAATGTCATTATATCCATAGGTGAATTCATTTACGA